CTAGTAGTAACAACACCCCCAGCACCAGTACCTCCAGCTCCACCACCGAGGCTGCCCACTAGACAGCCCAAGCGCGAGGATGCTACAGCGAGAGCGACTCCTGCCGACTAGCACCACCAACTCCAGCACCTCCAGTAGTACCTCCAGCACCAACAACTCTAGTACTAGTACCTCTAGCACCAGTACCTCCAGCACCTCCAACTCCAGTACCTCCAGTAGCACCTCCAGTGTCAGTACCTCCAGTAGCAGTGCCTCCAGCACCTCCAACTCCAGTGCCTCCAGTAGCACCTCTAGTGTCAGTACCTTCAGTAGCAGTGCCTCCAGCACCTTCAACTCCAGTACCTCCAGTAGTACCTCCGGTGTCAGTACCTCCAGTACCAGTGCCTCCAGTACCTCCAACTCCAGTACCCCCAGCTCCAGCACCTCCAGCTCCACCACCGGGGCTGCCCCAGTGGACAGCCCACGCACAAAGCTCCTGCGGCGAGAGGGTCTCTTGGCGACTCAGTTGCCACTGACGTTCACTCCTAGAGGCTCCAGGAGGGGTACCCGCAACCCGACCACTAGTAGGACTCTCAGCACCCCCAGAACCAGCACCCCCAGAGTCAGCACCCCCAGTGTCGCCACCTCCTGCAGCACCAGGGTTGCAGAGGCGGTGAAGACGGTCGAGGCAGAAACCCCGGAGGGGTCTCCAAGCGCGATGAGCGGCGAGTGGCCGCCGCGTCGTCAGCAGCTGGGTCACCCCCCTCAGCCGGGCCAGAGGTGTCGGAGGAAACCTCAAACGGCTAAACCAAGGGGGGTGGTCAACCTGGGACACACTTGAGGGAGCAAAACCATGAGGAGGGAGGGGTGCTACCGGAAGGGGGGGGAGGGGGGGTCGAGAACCAGGGAGAGAGGCGGGAGGGGTACTGGGGAACTGCGATGGGGGTGAAGACGGTAGAAGCAGACGGACTTGTCAAAAGTGACGTCGTGGGAGGACAGCACACGACAGGAGCCCGGGTGGTAAAACTGCCAGGGCGGTGCGTCTGTGGGAAAGTCAAGGAACACGCACCGAAGAGTGCGCAAAGAGAACTTGCCCGCGGGCGGATCGCGGACAAGAGAGAAGGAACCCCAGACCCGGAACTCCGACACATTGCCAACCTTCCCCGTCCAACGCAGTGTAGGCAAGGTCTCTGGCATGGAGACATGGGGCCAGAGGTTGACCTGGTGTGTGGCGTACCGGACCGCAAACAGCCACAGAAAATGGGGAGCAGCCGCATAGACCATGGAGGTGCGAGTAACCTCCATGACCAAGCCGATGTGGCGCTCTGCACTCCCATTCTGCTGTGGAGAGGCCGGAAGTATGAACAATTGGCGGATGCCCTCAGCACCACAGAAGTTCTCGAGAAGGCGGGAGGAAAACTCACCACCTCGGTCAGAGTGCAGCCGCAGGACCGGGAGGTCCTGCCGGAATCGAGCGCTAAGCTCGATACAGACAGCGCGGATCTAGCGGATCAAGATACTAGGGACCTCTGCCTTGCCCTGCAAGGGAAAGGCCGTAGTGTAGCGTGTGTAGTCGTCAACAACTAGCAGAAAGTAGCGCTCGCCACCCTGTCCAAAGACGCGGGCGGGGCCCCATAGGTCCATGTGGAGGTTCTGCGGAAGAGATGTGGTAGGAGGAAACGAGGAGGAGTGAGGAGCGGCGCGCTGCCGCCCCTCGACGCAGGCAAGGCATGGCGGTGCAAGCGACCTCGGGAGCGGGGGCAGGGACCTAGGGTGACCAGACACAAGGAGATGGAATTGCATGACACGCAGACGTAGCAAGGAGGGGTGACCAAGACGGTGGTGCCAGAGGAGTGTCTGGTGCATGAGGAGACGACACGAACAAGACGCAGTGACCTCAAACGACGAAGCTACCTGACCTGACTCAGCCACCTGTGCAGACTAAGTGGTCAGTGTGTATAGGCCAAACCCGGGCCTTTGAGTGGAGGTGGAGACCTGTGAGAAGGCTAGAAGGGGCCACCAGACATGGGAGAACAGTAGATCCACGCGCCACTACCCGGCAACCGGACGGGTCGGCTAGTGTGACAGGGATAGGGGCTGTGAGCGGTGTAAGTGTGGTGCTGTCGCGAAAGAAACAGCAAGACGCCACTGAGTTTAGAGTGAAAGTGTGCAAGGCGTCCTCAGGCTCTGCACCTGTGCTAGCTGAGTCACAAACACCAAGACTAGTAGCCTCTACCCTAGCAACTCTAGGCATACACGAGTAATAGTCATCCTCAACACTAGCAGATTCAGCATACATCGCATACATGCCAGCATGGATCACTGCCCAGTCACAAGCAAACACATCGATATCCTTCTCAAGCAAGGCTAACCAGTTAGGAGTCGTCATCTTCTCACCATGCTCCGCACGATACAGATCGTCGAGGCAAAAGAAGCAGCAAGAGTTCGTATGGCCGGTGCGAGTGCAAGTCACTCCAGGCTAACCTGTGCGACGGACGTACCTGCAACAAGTTGGGCCACCTGAGCTGCCACGCTGGATCGCCCACTCACGAAGTTGCTGCGGCGAGAGCTGCACCTGTCGCCCCAGCTGCTGCTGGTGCTGCTGATTACCCCCAGAGCCACCTCCACCGCCCGCTGCACCACCAGCCGTAGTTGTATGAGTGGCCGAACCTCCAGCTCCTCCTCCGCCAGCTCCACTCCGAGTGCCACCCCCGCCCCCTCCACCACCCCCACTGCTCCCACCACCCCCTCCTCCTCCTCTGCTGCCTCCACCTCCTCCTCCCCCACCACCACCACCCCCGCCACCACCACTGCCACTCCCTCCACCCCCACCCCCACCACCCCCACCCTTGCCACCCTTGCCCTTGCCGTTGCGACGCCTCCCACTAGGAGCAGACGCAGAACCGACCTCCTCAGCACCAAGGAAGTCCACAGCAGTAGCAGAGGCAACAGACGGCGCGAGCAGGGAGGGGAAGCACCCCTCGAAGACAGAGGGGAGGGGGGTATCACGAGAGGCAGCGACAGCTAGGGCAGCGGACTCAGTCTCTGAAGACGGGACTTGAACGAGGCGATGGTGATCTTCATGGGGTTTAGAGCGAGAAAGTGGTCGCGAACAGCACGAAGGGAATCAGGGAGGTGGGTCGTGATAAATTAAAGGGTGAGATACATGGATGGCTTGTTCTCAGCCAGAAAGGCAGGCTCGAGGGCGGCAGTGTAGTGGGTCTCAAGGGAGCGCAGGTAGGTCAGGAGGTCAGCTACAGTGGTGAAGACTAGCAGCACAAGAAAGACGAACGGCAGTGCCAGACGGCCTACAGTGGCAGAGGACGGGGACGAGTATCGCTTAATTACAGCGTTGTAAAGCGCCTTGGCTCTGGCGAAATTGGGTGCGCTAGTCTAGCAGAAGGTTACTACGGACAGCAAGAGCGGCAGTAGCGCCATGAGAAGTATACTGGGACCTGTCTATTCAGTCATCTGAAGCAGCAAGGGCAGCGAGGGACCCCAAGGTATGCTAACAAGGAGAGACATTCTCCCTAGTAACGCTGTGCAGGTAGAAGTGGAGGTCCTCTAGCCATGACTCAAAATCTATCGGGTGGCCTTCAGCGTCAAAGGTGAGCACAGTAGGATTCGCCATAGTAGTAGTAACGGCAGCAGCAGCAATAGCAGTAGCAGCAGTAAGGGCGGCAGTAGCTGCTGGACCGGTGCAGAACGGCAAGGGTGCGTAGACCTAAGGCAGCACTAGTGCAAGGGGAGCGGCTTGACTGAGCAGCTCGGCTGGGCGGCTCGGCAGGGCGACTCGGCCGGGCGGCTCGACTGGGCGGCTTGGTTGGGCGGCTCGGCGGCAGACAGCAGCAGCAGGCGCGCTAGCTGGCGGTGTAGGCAGTAGTAGCAGGCGCTCAAGCAGGGCAGTGCAGGGGCGCGAGCTGGCGGTGCTGGCAATGCAGCAGGGGCGCGAGATGGCGGCTTGACAGCGCAAGCACGGCAGGGCAGGGGCGCGAGCGGGCAGCGCAGGGCAATGCGCAGGCGGTTCAGGCAGGGCGCACGCAGGCAGCGCAAGGCAGCGCGAGCAATGCAGCGCGCAGGGCAGCTGACGGCGGGCTGGCAGCGAGCAGACAGCGCAGGCGAGGTGCGGGCAACGCAAGCAGCGTGCGAGCGGCGTGCGGGCAGCGTGGGCAGCGTGGGGGCAGCGCATGGGCAGCGCGAGCAGCACGCGGGCGAGCGCACTGGGCAGCGCGACAGCTCGCGGCTTTGGTCAGGGCAGCGCTATAGCGCGCTGGGCAGGGCAGGGCAGCAGCACGATGGCTTGCTGGGCAGGGCAGAAACGACAGGCCGGGCAGGGGAAAAACAACTGCCGGGCAGAGCGGGCTGCGGAACTAATTCGGTGGGCCCTAAAAAAAATTGGTCATAAACCGGGACCTACTCTGAAACCATGTTAGAATCTAGGAATGAGTGATGGCATGAGGTCATGAGGTCATGAGGGGAGTACAAGTATAATGTCGAGAGTAATCTTTTACCCCCTAAGGCTAAACCCACTACAGCCTAATTAAACATAAACACATGTTTTGAGACATAAAACCGGGCTCTTCTAAGGTCGGTCAACAACCGTGTGATGTGATCTATCGTGTGGTTGAACTTCTCTGACGTCCACATGACCGTTTACTCTCGCCTTCCCATCCCAGCATGTGGAAGCTACGCCTTCCTGGTATCAACACGCAAAGCTACCAACCATTACCGCACACTGTATCTGTTAGGCCCATCACACACACAATCTACGGCCAAGGGTGAACATAAAACCCGGCACTTCTCAAGTCAGTCAACAACCATGTGGTATCATCAAGCGTGTGGTTGAACTTGTCTGGCGTCCACGTGAAGGTGTGCATGGAGGGGTGGTGGTAGTGCACCTCCACAAGCAACCTGTTTACTCCCACCTTCCCAGCATGTAGAAGCTACACCTTCCTGGTATCAACACGCAAAACTACCAATCAAACCACAATTGTATCTGTTAGGGTTGTTGCACACACATTCTAAGGCCAAGGGTGAACATAAAACCCGGCTCTTCTCAAGTCAGTCAACAACCGTGTTGTCTCATCTAGAGTGCGGTTGAACTTGTCTGGCGTCCACGTGAAGGCGTGCATGGAGGGGTGGTGGTAGTGCACCTCCACAAAGAGCTCGTCCACGATGGCGGGCATGTGAGGGATGGCCAGCCACCCGTGCAGCACAGCCCACTCCGCCCCCTCTATGTCCATCTTCACTATCACCGTGTCGTCTTCTGTTAGTTGCAGCTCGTCCAACAGCCATCGCGTCACGTTCACCATGCTCTGTGGGGAGAGAACGAGATGAGGACGGGAGGAGAAGGGGGGTTGATTGAGGGGGGGTCACTCAAGCAGCACAGCCCACTCCGCCCCCTCTATGTCCATCTTTACCATCACTGTGTCCTCCTCTGTCAGCTGCAGCTCGTCTAGCAGCCACCGCGTCACGTTCATTGTGTTCTGAAGAGGGGGGGAGAGAAAATGGGGTGAAGTGGGAGGAGGAAGAAGATGGGAAAGGGGACAAGGGATAGGAAAGGAGGAAGAGGGAGAAGCTAATCAGGGAGAGCCATGGACATCATGACTAGGTTTCCTCCGCAGCTCCCTTGGTTGGCCCCAGTTGTGTTTCGGAAGGGTTAAGGAAGGAAGGGAACGAATCAAAAAGAGCCATGGTCGTCATGACTGGGTATCCCAGCAGCTCCTTCAATTGGTCCCGGTTAGTTGCGTTCTGTGCGTTCCGGGAGGAGGCAGAGAGAGAGAAGGAGAGAGAGGGCAGTAAGGAGAGCGTGAGTCACCACTACTGGAGCCTTCCTCCCTCAGTTGCTTTCCTCGTCCCAAAGTCACATTGTGCTTTTTGGAAGGGGACAGAAAGGGAGGAGCGGAGCAGGGGAGGAAAGGCAGGGGTACTTTTGCTGTTATTTATTTCTTCTTGTTCTCCAGGTGTAGCGTACCTCTTCTTGGCTGTCTTGAGAAGAGATGAGGAAGTTGTAGGGGTGAATGCGTAGCATCAGCCACGCAGGGACTTTTGAGTCAGGCTCAAAAGTCACCTTGTCTGTAACAGATGTTAAGCTTCTTCGGTTGTTACCTCTTCTTGGTTGTCTTGAGAAGAGATGAAGAAGTTGTAGGGGTGGACGCGGTCCATCAGCCATGCAGGGAAGCCTGCAGGGCCCCTGCCGAACGGACGCAGGCGAGATTGAGAGTTGATCTCATAGGCCGGTACCTGAAACGGTTAAGAGCGGCACAGAAATGGTAATGAGGTTGGGAAGGGTATGTGTGGAATGGACAAATCATTCAGGTGTTGTGGCTTCAAAGATAGGTGAAGTGATGGACTCTTTTATTATACGGGAGTGAGCTACAATCTCTGTACTCAGGCTACTGTTACTCATTCCTACCAACCCACCCACCACCCTCCCCCCCTCCCCTCCTACCCCTCTCTCCCCTCCCCCTTTTCCTCCCCTCCCCCTTACTCTACCCTTCTCTCTTCCCATCCCACTCACAGCAGTTTTTACGCCCTGCCCAGGTTTCTAGTGTATGCCCCATCCATACCAAGCGTGTATGCCCGGAACCGTAAGTGCATACACTACTAGATAATGCAAGGTAGAGCGTATGAGTGCTAGCGTGGACATGCTAGTGCGAAATATGTGACGGCGTGAATTACCATGCAGTAACTCCCTCAGTCTGCCCTCAGCACCCGCTCCTTCCCAAACCCCTCCAGTGCTGTTCTCATATTTCTTCTCTAAGTGTGTATGTATGCAAACATTTACGCACCTCAAGCGGCGGTGTAGATGGCTTCTGGAACAGGTCGGTTTGCACTTCCACTGCATGAATCTCGGTGAAATCGAGCGGGTACATTCGAAGGAACCAGGTGACACTTGTCTCAAATTCATTCGCTCCGAGGTCTACAAGCACCCTCCGCTTCCTGCGAAATCGCGGAATTTCGGGGAACGAAAGGGGGGAAAAGGGGTTTGATTCATTTGAATGGGGGAGCGTGGAATCCTATGAAATCGACGGGTCTATTTGAGAACCCCAGCAACGCAACTGTCACAAACCTACGGTAACTTTCTAGCTGCCACATCTGATAGCATCCTCCACGTTCTGCTAGCTAGGAAACTTTAGGAACGAAGAAAATAAGAGACAGAATGGCTGTTTATATCACACAACTAGGTTGCGGGAGCAACCTAGCGGAAGTCGTACGAAATCAATTCTCGACGTAGAACCCGATATTTCGTACGTCGATATATCGGATTTCGAACCCGATTCCTGAGAATGCGGAGATTAAAAAACGGAGAGAGGACTGAAAAAGGGAGGAGGGAATATGGGGACGAAGAAAGTCCTTCTACCAACATCGTTATCTAGTCCTAGTCGTAACAGAATTACAACGCATTACTCACCTCCTGTGCAAGCTGGGATCCATGTTAGCTCGTAGGAACGGTAAGATCTGCGTCTTGTCCTCCACGTCGTCCACGAAGCCCAGGGTCCATCCGCGGCGGAAGTTCAGGTGCGCGTCTAGCTCCTCTATAGGCAGCCCCGCTACAAGGCAGGGGGAAACGCGGGGTGTCCACTGCGCATTGCGGGTGTAGGCAAAGCGCAGGGGAAGGGACGAGGAGGATGGCATGGTTGTATGCTGAATGCTTCATGTGCGTTGGAGTTGCATAGGTGTCCAGTTGAAGTATGTTTGTACTGGGTCCTATAGCATAATATCGTGATAGGTCGAGAGAGGGTCCATCCGAGAGGTACCATTTGAGAAAGGATCAGGTCTTGGCACGAAACGGCGTGCGGGAAGGGGTGGGAAACGCGAGGAGAAATGCGGGGGGGAGGGAGAAGGGGGGAGAGGGGAAAGTGGGGGGGGGGGGGGGGGGGGGGGGTGGGGGGGGAACGGAACGGAAAGTGGTTGGGTGCGTATGGAAGATCCTAGTTCGCGAATCGTCGGAACGGTTTTCAAGATCCCGAAATTACTGTCCTATGAAGGACGACAGCAGCGATGATTTCGCGCAATACCTTTCCGTAATCCGATGATTTTCGCGAGATTTTTTTACTCCGCGACCCGCGCAATCTGCCAGGAACTGTTTCGAGGTGATTAGTACCTTAGTAAACGCCCACACATCCTCAACACTGTCTCGCGGCGACAAGCTGCTATCTCCGCCATTTTGCACTACCGGAGTGACTCTGCTGGTTGATGTCCAATCAGAGCACGACTGAGCTGCGGCGCCACCTCCGCCTCCGCCTGTGATGAGACTTAGCGCTAAGTCGCAGTCGCACGGCGCGCATCGTTGGGGAAGCTGAACGGCAACGAGCGTGATCGAGCAGAGGAGGAGCATCGTCGAAACTACCGCCCAAGCGAGTGCCACGGGATACGGTATTAGAGACTCGACGTTCTTAATCTGCGATTTCATTGGCGAGTAGTCGTACATCATGCTGAGTGACACAGTCATTGCATGCTAGACTTGTTTCTTCGACTACCAACTTTTGACTGAAGAACTGCATGACGCGATAACTCCAAAGTTTCCTCCTTTGTGGCCGTGTCAGGTTCTGGAAGGGTGTGAAAACGATGCTCGCACGGCGTGTTGTCAAACGAGCTCGTGTTGTGTTGTGTCATTCGAAAGCATCATCAGTCTCTTGAGACGAGACGAGACGATCTGTGGTTCGAAGCGAGCATGCGACAGCCTCGCGACCAGGATTCTCTTCTCGCCAAAGCATCAGTCAGTTCGTTGGCTGGCATTCCTGGGATAAATTTCGTCCACAGGATTTTGGTTGCCTGGATATATCAGTACTTATCACCGTTGGGGGGTGAGGTCTATTGTACTTTCTTTGCGGTCTGAAAAGTTGCGTCGCGGTTTAAAACGGTGGACTTAAAGCAGTGCTTCTCACCGTGCGGAACCGACCAGAGCCACGAAGAAACGAACTGTTGGGCAGTACAAGCTTGAGGAAAGCGGGTGGGGTGGAGTGGAGGTGGAGTGGAGTGGAGGACAGCTCATGAACGGCAATTTGTTGGACTTTTTGTGGATGAGGAAAAGGGTGCATCAATCGAATCCTCTCCATCACGTGGTTTGGACAGTTTCTTGGCTAGCGTTGGAACAGGATAAGGACAGGCCCATTGTCTTATCACAAAAGAGGCAGCATGTCCAATTCGCTAAATCCAAAGCAAAAACGAATTGTGATAAACCAGCAGACTGACTGCAGTCAACCTAAAGTACACAAATTACATCATTAATAACCAAGTATTCCAATCCCATCCCCTACGGATTGTCTGACAGTGTGGACGATTTGGTGGCAATATTTTTACCATGTGTCACACATGCGCTGTTCCCGTTTGCGACACAGGCCGTTTTATGCCAGACACTGCCATTAGAGTAAATCGTGGCACCCAGATTTGGATGAAACACGGGATTGAAATGCATGCTCAGGATTCTGAAACCCATGGAAACCTGAGCATCATCACTAATACCGTCACCCCCCGGATATAAGCGCCACCCTAGGATAAGCGCCTGGCGCTTCTAATTGGCATATGGCGCTTATATCCCCTCCTCGATTATAAGCGCATACCCTAGAGTCGTACGGATTATAACCGCATATCTGTACCTTACACATTATAACCGCCACCTACTTAAATATTTTTTTTCTACAAACTTCACTAACCACATTAATAACTTATATTTTCATCTAATTAAATACAAAGTCAGTTTATCTACAGTTTTTTCTAATTACAGTTCTAAATCTACCTACGAGTCTCACAGGCTACAGCAATTTCTAGATCTACGTAATCTAGTCATCAGCTGCGGTAGGATCATCCGGGTCGGCCTCAGAGTCCGACTCTGGTTCTTCTACGTTGTTGCAGAAAAAGCCATCTGCTGCAATGTCGTCGTCGATGTCTATTTCGTCGCCCTCAAGCTCGTCGCGCCTGTGTTGCAGGCAGATCTTGTCCTGGGACCCATCCAGGGCGTTACTAATGCCACAGGTGAGGAAAGCCCGTTGAATCAAGTCCCTGGGCACGGCCTTCCAAGCCGCTGATATCCACTTGAGCGTTAGCTCGGGTGGTGGCTTCTTGATGTTGCCTGCCATAAAATTTAAACAATCAAAAGTCAGCCACCGCTACAAACTGATAAAGCAGCACAGGCATGGCCTGCCTCTCTCACCTTTCTTTGTCAAGGTGTCGACCCCCTCGCTCTCGAACCACTCCTGGTAGAGCTGTCGAACGGATGCCTTGAAGGAGCGATTCACCGCGACGTCCAGAGGTTGAATCTCCGAGGTGCAGCCAGCTGGGATAACGGCAGGGACGATGTTCAGCTCCCCGAACTTCTTCTTCACCTCCGCAGTCAGGTGCCCGCGGTACGAATCCAAGACGAGCATCGCTTTGCGGGGCCTCACTCCAAACTTGGTGTGGACGAACGGCTTCACTGCCCCGTCGAGCCACTCAATGACTCCGTCCGCGTCCATCCAACCGTTGGGATGGACGGACACCGTAACATCTGCACAGCCACAAACGCACATACAACATCAGTAGACATTGAAAAAAAAAAACATGCAGCAGTGGGTGTTAATGCTCACCTGAAGGGAAATCCCCTTTAGGCAGGGTCTTCCGTTTGAAGAAGACCCACGGCTTCAGCTTCTCACCGCTGGCAGTGCAGGCGAGCATCACCGTAACTCGCTCCTTCTGATAGCCGCCGCTGCGGATAGGCACAGAGCGCAGACCCACCTCCTCGACTGTGCGTTCGGCAGGCATCTCGAGCCACAGTGGTGTCTGGTCCGCGTTTATTATCCACTGCGGGTCAATCTTGTATTGGCGGCGGGTGTGACGCACGAACTTCCAGAAATTCCTGACGTCAGTCTCGCAGTCTGGGAGTACGGGTGGGAGGGAAAGAGAGAAGACAGTATTAATGACGCGTTAAAATTCAACCGTGAAACATAAAGAGACAAACAACACAAAGCAGTACACATTAAATTGCAACCATTTCCCACAAACTCACTGGCAGCAAGCTTCTGGCCGACCCTGGTCTTCGCTCGGGTTGTCAGATTCCAACGGCGGCGAAACCGCTCAGTCCACCGCTGCGAGCCGGACCACTTTACCTGTGGGTGCAATTCTTTCATCACCTCATGCGACCACTTCTGTAGGCGAGCGATCGAGACCGCGAGACATTTTTTACGGTGGGCAAGAAACCTCTTGTAGACTTCAGCTTCCATGTCGCGATACCACGAGCTCCTTCCGCGCCCATGAAGACGCTTGCGAGCAGCATGCGCGCCCTCCAGGTCAGCCTTCCGGGTCTTCCATTCTGCGAGTGACCTTCGGGAGATGCCGGTTTGGCGAGACATCTGCCGCACGCTCATGTGCCCGGACTCAAGCTTGAGAATCCACTGCAGTTTCTCCTGCGATGTGTAAGAGTGCCGCTTGTGACTTGAAGGCTTGTGCCTGGGGGAGGGAGGACGGGCATCGCGATTCTCGCGAGAAGGGTGGGGCCGTTTCTTATTGGGGGGGGGGAAGGTGGGAATAGGCAGGTGCTCTGGAAGACCGTCGGCAGCCCAAAACTCCACGTCATCCTCCGCACCAGCCGCGGATTCGTCCAACGGGCAATCAGCCGGGGCTCCCCAGCGTGGCGACGGTGCGGAGGAAGACGATGCGCCACCGGCGCGGTCGGGCTCGGACAGGTACGCGTCAAACGCCGAGTAGCCAGGAGGGAGGAGAAGCTGCAGGACCCCCTGACGTGGAGCACCAAACACAGGCGGGTCAGGAGGGGACGGAGGAGCTGGAGGAACTGGAGGCGCCGGGGGAGCGGGAGGTGCAGGAGGAGTTGGAGAAGTGGGAGGAACGGGAGGAGCTACTGGTTGACACGGAGGGACGGGCGCAGGGCGCGACTGCCATTGAGAGTAGTCACAGGTGTCTCGGCGGGTGTTTTCTCTGGCAGCAGGATGGCGGCGGAACAAGAAATGCGTGCGTGGAAGGCCCGCCATGGCCACGGCAGGCCAAACGAACAAAGAAACTGAAGGCAAAAGTCGAGAATGAGGGTTGTATGAAGCCCTCGCCCGAGACCCCTTCATTTTCGCGGCCCGGCCTCCTCTGCGGGAAAAGGGTGGCCCCAGTCAAGATTCCCCGCAGAGGAGCTGAGCTGGGCAGCTCCTTGCCTCGGTGGCGGGGAATTTTGCTGTTGATGGGCACACCGTGGCTGAACCACGACGTGCCCACGATCGCATGCAACCCTGATTGGGCCGCTGTGATGCGAGGTACGTGTGCACTGGCATGGGCCAGGTTCACGTTCGATGAACCTGGCCTGGCCAACAAGGCGTGGAAGGCGTGAAGCCACGCCTTGTTGGCCGTTTCACGCGCAATGCATGCACAGTTTCGAACGTTCTCGACCCAGGTGAATCCGCCTTTGAGAATGCTTCGATTTGGTATATTTAAAAACAAAATTCAATTTTGACAAATTATAAACGCCGGCGCTTATAAATTTACTATATTATAAGCCCACCCCCTCAAAAAAACATGTTATATTATAGCCCCCCATGGGGGTATATCCGGGGGGTGACGGTACCTCTGTTGAGAAATAGTCCAAGAGGTGTCAAACCACACTCGCCCACCAATCACACCGCAAATATTCATCCCGTCATGCCACTGCTTCAATTGCCCTCTCTTCCGCAGCATCCATGCCAGCTATCTCAAGAATCCGAAGCCGGGTCAGTTCCTGGCAATGTGAAGCCACCGCACAGATAATCAAAGTTGGTGTGAGAGAGGTGAAAGGCAGAAATAAAACAATCTGGGGTGAAGCAAGGACGGCTGGCAGATAGATTGGACACTGGCATCGCTGTAGTTGCTACGGCGTGGAACAGTGATGATGTGGCTGGCACCGCCAGGTATTGGAACATGCAGATGCCTGGGAGGGAGCAGAGGGTGATAGTGATGAAATTGTGCTAAAAACAACATTTGCACTTCGGCTACATTGCCAGCACTTCAGCGCTTCAGCACTTCAGCACTTGCATCGCAGCACTTGCATCACCCCACCAGCACACTTCCTGCTCCACCACAGTCACGAACAACTTGCGTCTCTCTGTCAACCACAGTCACAAACAACTTGCGTCTCTCTGTCAACCACAGTCATGAACAACTTGCGTTTCTCTGTCAGCCACAGTCACAAACAACATGCACCTCTAACAACCACCTGATTGTAGCCATCCCAGCCAATCACTCGACACACTCACTTGTCGGTGACCGTTGGTGCATCCCTAATGACTCCTCGTCTCTCTAACACTAACACTACCATTCTAAATCATCCCAGTCAACCAGCCACCACTCAACACACTCACCTGTCGGTGACCGTTGGTGCGGCGGTAGTTCTTTCTCCTCTTCTTCTTGAACACTATCACCTTGGCGTCAAGGGCCTGGCGACACGCATCAGGTTTTGAAACAGCGGGGAGGAATGATATTGAGAGTTGCATAAGACATACAATCGTTCTTTCTCCTCCTCTTCTTCTTGAACACTATCACCTTGGCGTCAAGGGCCTGGAAGCATAGGGTTTTAGAACAGAAGAAAGGAACAATGTTTTCAGACGCGCACGTTCTTCGCCGTCGTTTTCTCGCACACGCTTCATTTGGCATCGGGCCAAAGAGAAACCGGTGAAGAATTGGATCGGCTACCCAATATGAGACATCCTATACAAATGCAGTGAACCTCAAATCATGCAATGGGTTCACAATGTCGATGCACTCAGAAACTACCCAGACCAAGAAAAACATCAAACTGGTCCTACAACGTGCGAGGCAATAAGGCCTAGAATACCAATGAGAAAGCCAATCAGGTTTAAAGTGTCAATAAGAATAGCAATTAAGGCAGGGGAGTGAAACTCACATGCTCCTCCACCAGGGCTGAAACAAAGGCGCCTGGGAGAGTGGGCCGACCGATGAGAGATTCGGAAGGCGAGCCAATCAGAAGCACCTTCTCCAAATGAATCTGACGGATGGGATGCTCGAAGATGGACCGAGACGAGGCGATACGTTGACACGGAGCGACACATGAGTGAAGAAATTCAAACATTGTGAACTTCGCAATTACTGAGTTCCTAACTGGAGTAACAGTGCACACTAGAACATACTATGTTCCTCGTGTCTCCCACATTATCTCCATGTGTAAAAATATTATTTTTGAGACGTCTCCAAAATAATATATTAGCACACTACTCTGAACTTATGAGAACTAAATCTTTCACACACGCACTGCCTCATCATGCACTGTAGCATCGTGCAATGCAGCACCCTCCACTGCAGCACCCTCCACTGCAGCGATGGTAAATGCCTTCTGAGATCCCAAGCATAAACTTGCAATCCCATCAGTAGACCACATTCAATGCAGTCCACCGCACTGCACCACATTGTGCAGCACCGCACTGAACCCATGTCCACCAAACCATCAACAGGGATGAAGCTGTTTATTTTCACAAAACCGGAGGGCCAAGAAGGCCCAAATTGGTTCAACCTTCCTAACCTCGGTTGGGTTTGGTTGGCCTCGCACCCAAAGTCTTGACCAATTGAATTGCTCGCCCCAACCAAGCTTCCTAAAGTTGAACTTCTTGGCCCGCGGGTTTTACAAGCCTCTACCACACAACACACTGTGCAGCGCACTGAACCTGACCATACCACACCACATCCCCTCTCACTGCAACACACTCAATGCCATGTGCAAACCCATATGCAGCAGACTGTAAACACAGGCACCGCACTGAACCTGCAAGCACCGAATTCAACCCAGTCTCACCACGTCGTTGACATGGGCGAAGTTGAGCTTCTCCACGTAGATGGCGTCTCCTGGCGTTACCTTGAACTGGTGTGACCCCACCTGATTGGACAACAATATGACACGTCAGCACACATGTGGTTTAAGAAAAGCGATGCTGCGCCTACAAGATGGGCGGGGGAAGGAGGGAGGGGGGAGGGGGGGAAGGGGGGAGGGAGGACGAGGTAGAGGAGGGGACACGAGAGGGAGCGGATGGCAGAGTGCTTATTGGTGGATAAAGGCAATGTGGTTCGTTGCTATGATTGGCTGAGGGAGAGAGGAAAGGGGTGGGAGGGGAGGAAGAGGTGGGAGGGGAGGAAGAGAGGGGAGGGAAGGGGAGGGAGGGAAAAGCAGAAGGGGGGATGGGGGGAAGGGGGAAAAGGGGGTGGGGGCGAGAAGGGAAAGATTGGGGAGGAAGGCGAAGTTTGAATGATGGGTTTCACTGCAACAATTCTACTCCTCCCCTGCACGATTGCTCGGAAAACGGGGGAAGTTGCAACCACTCCTTAAAAGCGATCTGTGGCACATCTATCGACTCATCCCATATCATCCCACACAAATCATCACCGTCTGACACCCATCATCACCGTCTGACACCCATCATCACCGTCTGACACCCATCATTGCCGTCTGACCGACTGACACCCATCATCACCGTCTCACACCCACTCACCTGAACCACTGCGAACGCGTCTAGCTCCTTGATCTCCACCCCCGCCGCTTCGCTGACGTCACTCCCCCCGTCCTGCGCTGCTCCCCCCGCCGCTCCCCCTCTGAAGCGCGCCGATGCGGGCTCCGCCACGCGGTAGCCGATCTCCGCCGCGTTTTCCTTCCGCCATTGCCCCAGGAACGACAGCGCAAACCCTTCCCGCGGGGCACTGGGGGAACTCGCTTCCGCGACAGTAACATCCGCGGTATTAGCAACTGCACTAACGTTGAGTTGGCCTGATGTGTGAGCTCGGGCGGCGGAGAACACCTGTGCGTGCAGCGAGCGAGGCCATAACGAGGATCCTACATGAACAGACGGACTCGGCGCTGTGACAAGCGACGACCGCTTGACTGGAGATAGTGCGTGTGCCGGTGCGTGCGACGGTGAGTGAGACAGTGCTAGCGAACTTCTCTCCAACGGCAACGTCGCAGTGGCACCAACAGACTCTAGGCCTGGACGAGATTGCGACGCACTGTACAGCTGTGAAGGACATTGGTGCAGATTCGACGCGGCGAAAACGTGGCGAGATCGCGACGCGGAGAACCTCTGAAACGATTCAACGAATAGCTGCGGATCTGCAAAGTCTCGGCATCGGCGCGTGTGGCTGCTGCAGGCGTGGCCCGCCGCGATTACCGCTCGCCGCATGGCGGAATGGAACAGGGAGGTACAGGGGAGGAATTCGGGGAAGCGCGTTCGTACTAACTGATAGCACGAGGGCTGCAGGGAAAATAGGTTTGGGTGTGGTCGTACGCGGTAAAGTCCGTCGCATGGAAGTTTCATGAGCGTAATGCAAACATGCAAAAACTGGAAAGTGGACCTCCTAAAACAAACTCAGACCTGGAAATCGAACCGCGTCCAAAACTGTGGGCAGTAGATCCTCGAGGATCGAACGTCCAACGACAACCACGAAATAACGTTCTCCAAAGGAGATGCGACGTGTCAAACTGAACGTGTCATAAGCAAGATCCTCGCTGTTGGTTGACTCGCTTGTAGTTTTCAACCGTCGATCAAGCGCTAGCCCATTCCAGGAGATATTCTAGCACAATTTCTTGCGCGCAGATTTGGCAAACAGGGTACAAGGCTCAATTTCGGTGGAATGAGATGTTGTGCATGTGAGAGCGGCTTATTTACAGTTCTTTGCATTTAAGTAGGGTGGAAAAAAATAGAACTCTATATGACAATGCCCTTTCCACCTTGCCCCCAATCGCTGGCAAAGGGTATAGACAGCAACTTACGACGAACGCCATTTGACCATGCCATTCACAACACCCCCTCCTTTTTTTAGATCCACTATACACGCGCCGGTTTGTCACAGATTGAGCCGTCTGGCGATGCAAGTTTAGGTAGTCTTGTTGATTCCGGCAGCCTTTTCTGCATTGTCAGCTTGCACCAGTGCAACCTTGAGCTTATCCGTGAGCTGAATCACCTTCTTGTCTGCGATAGCCTGGCTCTGCTTCGCCTTCGTTAATCGCACCCTCGTGTCAGTAATCGCATTTGCCTTACTCGCGAGGTAATCGTTAAGGGCCTTCTGCGCGTCAGCGACTACCGCAACCGCGTTTTCGTACACCAGGCGCGTAGCATTCACCGCGCCTCTTGCATCGTCCACTGCCTTTGGAAAATGATCTCTTCCTGCGGACCCTGCGAAACTAGAGCAAACAATTCCTTCTGAACGCGATCCAGCCGTGCCTGCGCGCGCTGATCTTGCGCCACAATATCCGGGAGCACCTCCTCCACAGATTGGCGGTAATATTGCGCTTCCACGAGCGCAGCCTGCGCCATCAGCGAAGTCGGGTTGGCCCTAACGGCCCTTTCCGCGTCACGTTCCGCGTCCGCGGCCTCTTGCACGACGAGCCCCCATTCCTCTAGCAGCATTGAAGTCATGCGCGCGCTTCGCGTCGCGTCGTTGACCGCCTTCCTTGCCTCTGGAATTTGCGGGTGCGTTGACGGATCTGCCTGAAACGCCGCGAGATCCGCGATCCGGAGAACGAGGATATTGTTTGCGATGTCGAGATCGTACTGCGCATCGGCGACGCTGTTATTCATATCGGAGATTATTGAAATGCGGTCGTTGAGAGCTAGGTCCGGGCCCTGCAGATCGGACAGAGTTTGCGTGGCGGCGGCGACCTCAGCCGCCTGTTTGGCGGCGTCCTCTTGCGCCGCTTTCAGGTCCACCGCAGCTTGATTCGCCGAGGCGTGAAGAGCCTTGGCTTTCGCTACGAGGAAAGCGTTTTGTGCGCAGACAGATGCCCCAGGGGGAGCGAGAAGCGCGGCGAAGCACACTAGGAGAGCGGCAGAGAGAGCAGCATGCGTAATCGATGTCATGGCGGCGTTATAGATAATGCAACAGGTCCTGTCAGAGATACCGTAACCAGTAAATCGCAGCAGCTTGCTTGTTAGAGATGCAAATTCGGCGTCGCGGGCACTTAGGATAGTGTATGAGATGCTGTATACCGCTGGCAGCGGAAGAAAGAAAAGCACGCGGCCCTCCAACTAATCTCCAATGGAGAAGAAAATGCACTCGAGAGAGGTTTGTTAGGAGGTGAGTTCAGCTGGCGAAAGAACGAGTGATAAATGATAGTACAAATGAACGAGTTTATGGTCGCGATGACTCCAGAGACGAGTAGTAGGTAGGGTGGAGATTGAGCGGAACCAGCAAAGCCTACACCATTCGCCGCTGCGCATGATTTGTCGATATGTTCGCCGCATGCTGCGCTGTGCTCTCCAGACTGGAGTGACGAATATGAATGTAACTGGCTTATCAACGAATAACTTCATTGCGATCGGACCTCTTGAGCGTCTTCCACCAAGAAAACAGACATATATGACATTCGGTCATTTTTTAGGGACTACTACAAGATTTGACCAACAATCTCCGAATTTGGACTAAGTCAAGGCGGCAAAGAGCTGGGAGACAGGCAGTGACAGCTTTGTTGCAGCTGCTACTTTGACGAGAGATGATCAAGAAGTTGACGATTCTTTTCCTGCGGTGGCAGGAAGTCATGCACACAAGCCAGTCAGGCCTCATCTTTCGCGAATTTCAGTGCCATTGCCCTCCCCTCAAGCATCTCCCACATCGTTCCACGAGAAGTGCAGTGTTGCCCGGTGTTACGGGTGCAATCAATCGAAGTAGCGAGAATTGCACTAATGTAAGGAATTTTGCTAATTCCTTACTTGAGGCACCGCTTACGCGTACATTTCCAACTTTTCGGAGTTCAGGCTCGGTCCGACCTCGCCTCCCGAACGTCCTCCGCGTCGCCTTCGGGTTTTCCAAACCCAAACCTACACCCAACCCTCGCACGACTTCGCGACCTCGGGCTTAGCTAGCCTTGCTATATTATGCCTAGGCCCCGATGTTTGCTCAGTAGTTGTAATCACTTCCGCGATATTGCATTCTGCGCACTCTTCTTTCATACAACTCATAACACCTGGTATCAGAGCTACTTTCCTAGGTTACCCTCCACTTTCCGGGGTAGTTTTAGTACAGGGGTGCGATAGGTTTGGTGGGCTGCAAAGCGGTCGGCTGAGAGATAGATACGATTATCTCGCTCCGACTTATAGCGTTTGCGCCTTCATCAAAACCAGAAAAATCGCTGTTAACCCCCTGCCCGTTAGACGAAGCCTGCGACACATGGACCAGGCGGAGTTAAACGAGCTTATGCAACAGTTTCGGGCGCTGCAGGCCAACATGCAGACTATGTCTGGCGAGTTGGAACGCCTGAGGGAGGAAAACGCCGAGCTACGCCAGACGCGAGGTGAAGCGCGTCAGGAGTCGCCCGCCGTGGATGAAGCAGGAAGCAGTTTCGTGCCTAACGACGAGGTCCTCAGCGAGCTACAGAACTCGCTGGACGCTGAAGACGAGCGGACAGCACGAACGCAACGAGCACAAGGGACGCAGGAGCAACAGTCACAGCCGAGGCAACAGTCGCAGACGACGCCACGACAGGCACCAGCGACAACCCCGGTGATGGCTTCAATGGCGCCCCCGATGCATGCAGCAGCAACAGTCCCAACAACTGTTAAAATAAAACCGACGAACCCGCCCACGTTCAACCCCAGCGACAAAGCCGTCACTGTGTCAGCTTGGTTGTTCGGTGTAGAGGTGTTTTTCAATGCTGCGCAAATTGCTGACGATGCTACCCGCATTAATTTTGCAGTGTCACTATTGCGAGGACCGGCGTTGGAATGGTGGAAGCGGACTCTTCAGCCAGAGGGGGCTCCGGCAGGGATATCACGTGCGAACGACGGGACCTGGGCAGCTGTCACGCAACAGGCAACTTCAATCTTCGGAGTGGCCACGATACGCACATGGACGGAGTGGGGCGCCGCGCTGCGAAGCAGATTCGAGCATGTATCCGCCTCGGATTCTACTCGCATGAAGCTGCGTACCTGGAAGCAGGTGGCGTCGGTCCAAGATTACACGGCGACATTCTGCAATTTGGCTGACCAAGTGGACGATATGAGCGACGCGGAACGACTCGACCGATACGTCGCAGGCCTCAAGTACGACGTACAGTACGAGGTGCGACGGGCGAGGCCACGCGTATTTATCGAAGCCGTCCAAGTGGCCGAATCGACGGATGCGCTGATGCAATGGGCGAGAATGAGTTCCCGGGAGGGCACTCAATTTCGTGGACCGCCGCGCCAGCCCACAATCAACGGGGTGGATGCACCGAGGCGGGGAAACAACAACTGCTTCAACTGCAACCAACCGGGCCACTGGAAGAAGGACTGCCCGAAGCTGAAACAGGGAAACAGGAACGACGGAGAGGGGTCGGGAAAAGAAACGAGTCAGTAGCAGTCGGGCCACCTACTGACGAGACCCCGTCGCCCGGCAATCAACATCCACACCGAGTAGTGGTACCGATACGGGCTATCGACCGCAACCGGACAAATAAGGTGGATGAACACGTGGATCACCCTGTGCTGGTCGTGGGGAGGGTTAACGGGCATAAAATAAAGTTATTCGTCGACGGTGGGGCAAGCCACAGTCTCGTCAACCTGGCGACGGCCAAAAAAATCGGAGTCAAGCTGAACAGGTGTCTACCAGAGATTGATGCGCGATTGGTGGACGGAACACCGCTGGCGATCAAGGACGAGGTCCGACAAATTCGGATGAAGTGTGGCGACGATTTCGGGTTCTCCATGCGAATGCTGGCGACAACACTGGACGGTTGCGATGTGCTGCTCGGAAGGGATTGGCTGCAGCGTTTCAATCCGACCATCGACTGTACGACGGGAGCGATCACGGTGCTGTGCAACAAGGGGCGCGTGACACTTCCGAAATGGGCGGAGCCGGAGCCGACGACAACACGTGTCAACGCGATAACGCTGAAGAGGGCGATAAAACGGGGAGCGCAAGGCTACGCCGTACAGCTGTACGAGGTGGTGGCTTCCGAAAAAACCGCCGACATCGACACGCTCTGCGCTGCTGTACCCGACGACGTGGCGAGCATAATTCGGAGGTACCCCGAAATATTCGCAGATGACCTACCTGATGGGCTGCCACCTCAGCGTCCGGAAGACCACAGGATTGAGCTGGAACCAGGCGCGAAACCAACCGTTCGGTCCCAATGGCGGCTCAGCCAACCGGAGCTCGACGAATTGCGGAAACAGCTGGATTATCTGCTTTCTAAGGGTTTTATCCGGCCGAGCACGTCGCCGTACGCCGCCCCGATACTATTCACACCGAAGAAGGACGGAGGCCTGCGCATGTGCATCGACTATCGAGCGTTGAATCGGGTCACAATCAAGTCGCGTTACCCGATCCCACGAGCAGACGACCTGCTGGATCAACTTCGCGGGGCTCGTTTCTTCTCGAAAATCGATTTGCGAGGTGGCTACCATCAAATTCGTGTGTTCGCCGACGACTGCCCGAAGACCGCATTCCGCACCCGCTACGGCAGTTATGAGTACACCGTGATGCCGTTCGGGCTGACGAACGCACCCTCGACTTTCCAGCTCACTATGAATGGAGTGTTTCGGGACATGTTGGATAAAAAAGTTATTGTTTACCTGGACGACATCCTGGTGTACAGCAAGATTCGGGAGCAGCATTTACAGGACTTAGACGAAGTGTTCCGACGCTTGCAGCAGAACCGGCTGATTACGAAGGGCTCTAAGTGCGAGTTCTTACGGTCGGAGCTGGAGTTTCTGGGGCACGTTGTCTCTGGGGAAGGCATTAAAATCGATCCTCAAAAAGTAAAAGCGATTTTGGAGTGGAAGCCGCCCACGAACATCACTGAGTTGCAGAGTTTCCTCGGCTTCGTTAACTACGTCCGCTGTTTTGTACCCAATATGGCGGGGGTAACCAGGCCGTTAACCGATCTCCTGCATAAGGGCGTGCAGTTTTTTTGGGGGGAGAGAGAACAGCTGTCTTTCAACGAGCTGAAGAAAATTTTGAGTTCACCCCCGGTGCTTCGACTGGCAGATCCATCTCGACCGTTCGAAGTCGTGACGGACGCCAGCGATTTCGCTGTCGGCGCTGTGCTATTACAGGACTTCGGCAACGGACTGCAACCCATCGCGTACGAGTCAAGAAAAATGCAGCCGCCCGAGCGCAACTACCCGGTTCACGACAAGGAAATGCTCGCCATCGTGCAGGCGTTTCGAACATGGCGATGCTACCTCACGGGAGCGGATGTCACAATCCGAACTGACCACAAGTCACTACAGTACATGCGCAGCCAACCACAGCTCAACCCACGACAAATCCGGTGGCTCGACTACCTCGAATCAAATTTCCGCTACACCATCACATATAAAAAGGGCGCCAACAACATCGCCGACGCTCTGACCCGCCCATCCATGCAGACCGCAGCAGTACTAATCGCCCATTCCAACCCTTTATTGGCAGGATTATTCAAGCACGGCTACAGGATCGACAGATTTTTCAGGACCAATCAACACCGCGGGGTCACTACACCGCATGGAAGTTACTACCTAAAAGTCGGTACTAACCGAGTTTGGGTACCTTCCTACCGACCCTTACGCGAATTACTGACGCAAGAAGTACACGACTCCAACCTCTCCGGGCATTTCGGCGTCGACAAAACATTGAAGCTGCTGCAGCGGAACTACTACTGGCCCGACATGGCGTCGGACGTGCAGCGCTATGTGTCCGCCTGCCCGACCTGCCAGGCAATGAAGTCATCACGACAACGACCAGCTGGCTTACTGCAGCCCCTCGAGCCACCCAAACGACCGTGGCAACAGGTGACTATGGATTTCGTCACGGGCCTTCCAGCTGGCGCAAGTGGCAACGACTCCGTGCTCGTCGTCGTTGATCGCTTAACGAAAATGGCGCATTTCACGCCCTGCCGTAC